CGATGCGTCGAACACAGGCGCTCCCCACCACCACCACCACCAATTCCAACTCGATGTGTTGACAGAAGGCGATACAAGCAAATAGTGGTCGTTGAAACTTCACGGAGTGCAGACGTGTACGCTCTCTGTCACGATGGGTACCGTCCAAACTAGTGAAGAAGGACTGCTCATCAGTCGATGGATCTTCGTGGTATTCAGACGTGTGTTTATTCTGTACAAACAGGTACAGAGTAAACATGAAGGACAATATCAAACCCTGACTTTACTATGTATGCAATTTAGTTCCCTAATCTCAAAGTTGAATTCCATGTTCAAGGTCATGAATATAAATGAAAAATGTAAACCCTGTACCGTGCATTCCCACACACCAACCAAATGTAATTACGTCACTATGTCTCACACACACATACACACACAAAATTTCATATGAAAAAAAAATTCTGAACGATCCCTGCACCAGACACTTCAAGGTCACATCGCCTTGATGTTACTAAACAACAACAAAAAAGCAATTAATACGTCATAGTGGTGGGGGGAGGCCCAGAACCGAAAAAAATAATTCTGAACGATCCATACACCAGACACTTCAAGGTCACATCGTCTTGACTTCACTAAACAACAACAAAAAAAAGCAATTAATACGTCATAGTGGTGGGGGGAGGCCGAGAATCAGCTGTAAACTGGGGGGAGGCCGAGAATCAGCTGTAAACAACTACTGGCATTTATTCCTATTCAATTTTAGGTTATGTTGCGCAGCTAAATTAGAAATGGTTTGTAGGTCGGAATTGATGAGGTTTTGAATCATCAATAAAATAAGAGATACTCCCACAGAACTGCCCACAAGACTCTCGTTTTGTCTCTCTGATTTCCTAGTTGTATGTCATAGGTAGTTTCATAAAGCTCTGAGTTACGTGACTCTTCAGCTCGATTAAGTAATCGTCGAACTTATTTCCTTTTCCCACGCTGCTCCACGAGGTATCGTGTGAATTAGCATCACATCCCATTACGATTTGTATTTTGTTCTTTTTGCTATAGTCGACATGCTCTGGGTTTCACCCCAGGAATATTGCTCAGTCCGGTTACACGGCCTGTATTTCCTGTCCATGGTTTCTGCAGGAAAGCAAAGTCGATTAAATCATCCCTGAGATTTTTTTCAAGGACGTATAAAGTGGCTTTGGCATGTTGTAAGTTTGCCTGCAAACACTTGAAGTTAACAAGTGTTGCCGCAAACTTAGAACTCCTCGACCCTAATAGGAACCCTAAGACCCTAAGAGGGTCCTCAAGGACACATCCACCCTCTTCTCCTGGGATCGAGGGGTGTGTAGGCTCAGATGATGAGGTGAGAACACCTGCCGTCTTTGACGAGACGATTTTTGTCTTCGCTTTCAGAGAGCCACGTTCAGAGAATCACCTGTTTTCCCGGCCTTGAGATGGGTACAAGCCGCTGGTTTACACCTATGTTTGGCTGGAGGTTTAATTGAACTCCTCACCATAGGTGGATTTTCACTCGGCCCTGCTTTATTTACTCTAACGGGCACTCTGGAATGACGCGGTTGAGTAGTTTCCTGCTGGGAGGGTGCCCGGGTTTTAGGGCGGAATAAGACCGGCCCAAAACCAAAATGTGGTCTGGAACCCATCCTCGCCAGCACGACCATGGATCCTTCGTCAATAGCGAAGGTCCATGTTTGACCAGGGCCTGAATTTTCCTTGTGGAGAATAGTCCACTCCATGGTTGACATTCCATGACAGGCCATGACAGACCAGGCAATGAAAGGTGAACAAGGACAACCAACCCGCCAGTAATATAATGAACGTAATAATTCACTTGTATGGTGATACAGTAAACCAGTAAAATAAATTGCTCAATACTCTTGTAAGTAGCGAATGAAACAAGCTATGAGATACAAGTAAGTTGCGGTTTTTTTAAAAAAATCTGTTTTTTTCTTAACCAGCTGTTGCTGGAGAAGTATTCCAAGTCAATTTTTCGATTTTGATTTGTCTTCGTCCAGAACAAACAAGAACAATGAATAATAAGTGATAACTGCTGATTTTTGGTTGTTAGTTGAAACTGCCTTATATTAATTATTGAATAATATATGAATGCCCGTTGCCGGTTTGGAGACATAATTTTAGTAATCGTTTGGTGATTTTTTGATTATGTAGATATTTTCGCTCCACAAAAAGGATTAGGATTTCGATAGATAGCTTTATGTTTCCTATAAATTCCAAATCGATATCTTTTTGTTGAAAAAATTAAATCTTCTTCGATTTGGTGCATTAAATATACAAGTAGAGTCAGCGGCAGACAGACCATGAAATTTTTTATGAATTTCCATTTGAACATTTCATATGAATTTTCTGTACTATAAGAACTCTAATTTAAAAAAAAAATATTTATTGTCACCTGAAATGAGACTGAATTTATAAATAATATAAAAATGATGAAAATGAAGAGAAATCTTGGAAAATCACGAAAAATCAACTATCCCTCATGAATTCTTCAAAAAAAGTAGTTCTATGATTTTCCAGGTATTCTTTGAAAATGGTGGTTTTAGGTGGGCATAGTGTTTGAGAAAATTCATGAAAGTAAATATCAAGCTTGTAACGGAATAATAGGCACTACGCTTTTTTCGGGTGATCACCCGAAGACGATTGTGGATACTATCAATCGAAACGTCGTAAAATAACTTGGTTTGAATTCTTTTTCATTTTTTCAATTTATTTTTGATTTTCTGCTTATTTTTCATTCTTTTTCATTTTTTTTACTCTGCAGTCATCACCATTTTATATCTTGATTATTTTATTCGTTTCATTATATTCTCATTTCAGTTTTATTGCGCGTTTTATTGTAATATAAATGATATTCCAGCAATTCATTTGATTGTATTTGTTCTTTAATAGGATTCCAGCATAATGAAAACACTATATTATTCTTTCAAAATTGACAATACATTTTTTCAGATTACCCTTCACATATCATACGTCCACGCGATAGTCAACCCCACGCTGTTTCTAGTCCTGCACAGAGGTTTGCGCAGAGCCACTCTCGACTTTTGCTGTGGCTGGATCCCGTTATGGTTGATGTCGTCGCCGAACCTACCACCCCCGCCCGATCCACCTCGCGCGGCTGACATATCCCTTTTGAAACCGTCTCTGCTACCCGCACCGGCCCACCCCGATAGCTCTATGGTAATTAAATATTATATGTAAGTGGTGTAAGAGGCATGTATTCATTTTCTGAATATCAAAATCTATTTAAGAAATAGTTTAACTTTCGAACCATCTATTTTGTTTTCCACCAGAAATATATTTGAATTCATTGATTCGAAAGACTGATCGTAAAATATAAAATAGGTAGTTATAATATGTAGTTAATTAGGTACCTCACTTGAAATAATTTTTATTTTGTTCTGCTGACAAGACAACTCCTTTTCCAAACGGACTTGGCTTGAATTGGTTTATTCATGTCGGAAAACACTTGCAGCTATGATTTGTTTCCAGGCGAAACAATCTAAACTTATGAAAAAAACAGAGTACATTGATTTTTGAATTCATTTTTTTTTTCGTAGATGACTGACCGAAGTTGTATGGTTGTGTCTATCTAATTCTGATAGTGAAGATGTATATTGAATTATATACAATGACCCCAACATGATATATCGATTTTTTCTCCAAAATTTGCTTGTAATTCAATTTCTACCAGTGATCTGACTTGTCTTGTGTCATGGTTATGATATATCTACTCTCCATAAAATTCAAGTTTGATTTTTTGCATCACTCTTGAATGAATAAAGCAGCTAATTTCGAGTTTGTAGAGTCAATGTTTGTCCAATGAATAGTTTGGTTTATAGAAGTTCAATATTGGTTCCAAATATATTTGCTTCTAATTATTAAGTTCAATTACAGATCAACTAGCTGCCTTTTGAATAGAAATAAGTACAAATGTAAATGAATGAAATTGAAAAATACAGGTTTTTTAATTTAAGAGGACTATTTTCCTTCTAATTTTTCTCAAAATGAATATTTTTTATCAATGTATAGACCTGAGAATTTTGTTGTTGAAACATCATCGAACTGAAATATCCATTATTCTCACAGAAATATCCATATATGAGGATTCATTGAGCCTCAATTTATGTTCATTAAGCCAAATAAGAATTTCATTATCTCCATTCTTCATAATTTTTTATATTTTCGAAACTGTCTGTGAAATATATAACACTAATATCATCAGCAAATATTATACCATTTCAATGGAAGAGAAACGTTTTGGCTCTCTGCTTTTCCATCTACATACAAAACTAAATCTCTCCTAAAAATATACCCCTTTCAATTTAACCATTTCGAAGTAATGAACATGTTGGAGATCGTATAGTTACAATGTTTCAACAGGTAATGAGGCTAACAATGTGAGTATGAAAAAAATTAATCATTAAAAGCTCTTTAAATGAATCTTGTATAAAAAACGTTGATCCACTGGCTACCCAATTCATCCCCTATGAGCGTGACGATCCGACTTCGGTATCGTGACATCTGCATCGTGAAGCTCCAATATACATGAAAAATTTTAAGAATAAACGAAAAAGGCAAGTTGCAGAGGCAGATAAGATCAGATTAGTTCAGAACACTGGTTCTTTTCGACAAGCGACGAAAGATAGTGAACAAGTAAAACAGGTGAATAATTATGGAAGTTTGATTGGAGTATAGTGTTCACTATTGTGGAATATAGTTGAATTCTCAGAAGGTTTTGTGTCAGTGAATATATTTTTTAACAATTGAATTGTGTTACTTTTTCATTATTTCAATCTTTGATTTCAATAAATTGTTTTAAATCATCTCAACCTCCAAAAATATTTTCATTTTTCAGTGATTCACTTCAGACTTTGGCGGTGAAGGTGAACTAGAACTTTGTTCTTTCTAAATCTGTATAGTCTACTTTCAATCTAAGAAAATCCATTCAAAAATCTCAAAAATCAACCATCATAAAGGCAATATTTCAAAAAACTTTAGGATTACCAATATCGTTTTAATTGCACTGAAGATACATTATAAAAAGTTACTTCTGTATATTTCTACAGTAGTTCTATACTTGTTGACTAGTTTCGGTCATAACAACATTTTTCAGTAAAAATGGTGTGATGACCGAAACTAATCAAAAAATATAGAACTATCGTGAAAAATAGACAAAAGTGTGTTTTTATAGTGTATCCTCAGTGAATATGAATTTTCACAAAATAAACAAGTCGTCAATCAAATAAGTATCATTATAATTACTTGAACTATTTATTCTCTCAATATTCAATATCCACCTTGAATCAACTCACTCTGGCTAGAAATTAATTTCATTAAATCGACGAGACGGTGTGTGATCTTCTGGAAGATTAAGTTAATATCTCCAATCAGATTACCAGATATACCTAGTTCAACTTCTCTGACACAACACAAAACTTCAAACTTTTTATCTTAGTTTGACTCGGAGGAAAATGCCTCTGCACAAAAATTCAATAACACCCTTAACTGTCTTGGCACTATTCATACGAACATATGTGCCTCAACTTTTTCTTTCACACAGACTCGTTTCGTTCAGCTCTCATAAATATTCAGCACAACACCCTCTGCCCTATGGTACACATCTGATTGGATATGAATACAAATATAATAAAATAACTTTGTTATTCGAGACCGGGATGTTGTGAGAATGTGGAAAATTTTCTGCAGAAAACAAGTCGGGCGCTTCACGGATTCGGTATAGGTTAACAAAAAATCAAAATACTCACCCCTTTGGAATGAAACTAGTGATAATATTAATGACCAAACTGCTCACCTGAAAAACATTTATTTGAACTATTCAGTACCCCCGTCGGAATGATATAAGCTCCTCAGCAATTTCAGTAAGATAATAGTATTTATCAGCTCCATGTGAAACAAAAGAGGAAGAAAAACGGATGAAACAATAATATTTCCTGTTGAAACTCCACAGACTCTACCAAGGCCATTCTAATGAAATATTTTTTCAGGTTGGTTCAATCCTTCTCCCGCACATCGATATCATATGGGCTTGAAACATCACGGAAATAATATGGCCATATCAATGCAGAAAGTTATTGTTTATTTTCGAGGCGCATAATTCTTGGACCCAATGATCAGTGAGCAAATTGGTTATTGACGCCGGCCCGTCCTATGTAATTTTAGAACTTCAGGGAAAAACCCAACCAATCACTGATAATATTGAAATTGAAAACACTGGTTTGAATATTTTCACCCATTCCTACCTCACAAATAATGTTTCAATACGATGAAGTCATCATTGTACTAAAATTTGCATGAATTAATCTACGATGCGCCATCAGACTTTCACCAAACATTATTATGCGGATCGTGTGTTGCTCCTAACGGATAGTCAAAGAGGCGAACTATACAATATACAGACTAACAGGTGAAACAACGCTTTATACTGCTTGAGGGTTCAAAATTCTGTCATCGATCACATAAAGCAACAGAAACCAAAAACAGTCATTTTGACATTTCCAAAAATTATGAAGAAAAGCGCTCCGTCTTCTTGGAGACTCCCTTCCATTGACATTGACTTTGACAACTTCAAAAAATCGTTAGGGAATCTACCCAACGAGATGGGTTCGTCGATTTGTGAAACTTTGGATACATATTATTTTCCTTATGATTAGGTAGCATGTACTCAGAAAAATCATGTAGTCAGATAAAGCTGGAGAACAATCTAAATACGTTCGAGATATCAATTTGTGGTAGATATATCGTCAAATTCGGGAAAAGGCGAAGAAACACAGGTTTAGTAGAGATAAGTCATTTTCATTCATATATATCTTGAACCCTATATTACGTGATAACAAAAACTCAAAAATATAGCAAATCTTACCTACCTATCATACCTATTGGCTTTCGTCAAGGTTTGGTACTTCTAGAATGAGAACGAGGTATTAGTTGGCTAGAATACATATACCTGTCATACCAGATTACACGCCAAAGGTTCGTTTCTCACACCTTCTCCACAGTACGCATACACCGGAGTATGATGGAAATATGATCCGAAACGACGACAAATGTACAAAAATAAAAAGCTCGTCTCGGAACCAGCGGCTATTTCTAAACAAGACAGACCTTTTTATGGCTGACTGGATGTTAATTGTTAAACTACTAAATTATGAGGCACATATAAATTTTACACATTTATTTAAATAGAAATTAGATGGAACCGTACATGTAATAGCTGGCATATAATAACCAAATAATTCAATTCATAGATACAAATGACGTATAAAAATGAAAGTTGAAATAGTTTTTCAACTACACAAAAACGTGAAATACATCTTGAAAGTCATCTCTAAAGTTTCAATTGCAATTAGTAACAATACCAGCTAACAGCTTTCCTGATTTAACCAAGCCAGAACAATATTCAAGAATATAAATGAACATGACAAACATTTGTTTGAAGGTGATTGACAATGTTTCATGATGAATTTCACTAGTTCGGACTTTCATTGTCTAATATAAAAAATGATTTGAAATCCCTGAAACGACTAAAAAAAGAAGAATTTGGAAATTTTATTATAATGTGTTAAAACAACGATAAAAATAAAATAAATACAACAATAAAAATAATTGGCGCTCCGGGGCGACTTCATTGATTCCAGTGGCGCATTTGCTTTTTCAGCTGCAGGAAAACCCGGAAAAACCTGCAGCACCACATCATCTGAAGATCTTGATCTAACAATGCCCTCTCTCATAAAACAAAATGTAGGGTGTCTCCAGAGGCTCCAATAAATTCAATAAATTAAAAATGAATAGCTGAAAATAACAATTATATTAAGCAAAAATAACCTGAAATAAAAGTGAAATAAAATACAAGTAAAAATAATACGATTGAACAAAAAATAAAGAAATAAAAATGAAAATAAAATAAAAAGTTGAGAGATTCCAAGCCACATTAGTTCACGACTTTTCGATTGTTAGTATCTACAATCGTCTTCGGGTGATGAGTGGACTGATTCCTCCGAGAGATACTATTTATGGGTCATTCGAGTACTTTCACTTTCTCCGCTTTCCATTTTTTTCTGCTTTTCTGGTTCAGTAGGAGATTATCGTTTGGCGGGTGTTGGTCATTTTTCGCTTGATGATGGGTTTCCATATTTTGCGTATATCTTCGCTAGCTTAGCTGAATACGTTGTTGGAC